AGCTGACGAGTAATACTGAAATTTATTAAGTTGTTAAGCCTGCTTTTTCGCACTCGTTGCTTATTTTTAATAGGAAAAACACTTACAATAGTCTATATTCTATGTGTTGGTAAGTCGTAAAGAGTTCAGTAGAAACTTACTCATATAAATAAACATTAAGAATATGTCTGATTGATTATGTCGAACAAGTTTTTTTTAGGTTTACTGTTGAAATAATATTTTTGCGCATGAAAACTAAACTGACAAATTCAATGAAGTCTTAATAAAATTAGTTCTTAGGTAAACAGATAGAAACTAAATGCATAACGTGATAAACTTTCAATTTCTGATTTCAAAATGTATGAGTAACTTGTACAGGAATGATAATTGCACTTCAGTGTTTATGTGATATGTTGGTAGATGAAGAGAATAAATGAATGAAAATAAACGAAAATAATATACCCTCCGGATGAACTCGTCACCAGTTTAACTGCTAGAAAATCCTCCGAAAATATTTTTTATTCAAAAAGCTTTTAACTTCACCCACCATTTTGGAATTTACAATCTTACTTTACTATACAAACCTGAAACCTCACCTAGTTAACTAGTTCACTAGTTACTAGCCGATCCTAAGCCCGGAAAAAGAGGGAGGGTTGGGCATAGGGCTAACAACCCTACCCTAGAAAACCAATCCAAACGCTAAAGAAACTTCAAAGCACAAACGAAATATAAAAATGAAAAACAAACTTATTCCTCACTGGAATCGGAAAGACGAAATGACACCAGTTGGTGAAAGCCAATGGGAAGCCAATTGGCCAGTGTATCTTCTCTTCTCTCGATAAAAGCGAAAGTAAGGATGGGCACATAGAATGTCCACACAATATTTGAACCTGGCAAGGTTGCCCAAATTGGGAAATAGATGAGAAGGTGAAACATAGAAGGGTTAGGAATCTGTAGATGGAATGGAAGTGGACTCTCCGAACTGTCAACTGCAGAGTAAATAATCTACTCCGATATTGTCACCCAGACGACAACCACGAGCACACTGGTTGTCATGATGTCCCCAACAGCATCGAAGGCTCTCTCCCATGCAGTGCGAACTAGTCTCTTCCTGCAGGATCAGGATCACGACAGCAAGATTCAGGTCAAAAGGAAGGAAAGTCACAATCATACAATGCTACGCTACGCACCCACAAATGATGCAGATGAAGAGAAGAAGAAGGAATTCTACAGACAACTGCAATCTATAATGGACAAGACTCCAGTTGGCAACATCAAAATTCTAATGGACGATATGAATACCAAACTGGGAGCGGACAACACAGGAAGAGAATTTATCATAGATCGAGAAGCTGTCGGTGAAATGAATGAGAATGAAAAACCAGGCATCCTGAAACAAAATACAACTTCTGATAATAACATAACGATTTTATGCCTTTCGACTTTTAAAACAATTCCTCTTCATTCATTTAGAATATTATTCTACAGCTGATAAGAAATACCCACTAGCAAATGTAAAGATATTCGTTGAACTATCCAAAAATTCTTGTGTCGTTAAAGTCTACAGCATGAAAAACAACACAACTTCATAGTCAGTAATAGACGCATTTTTGAAAATCACATAGTGTCTGTAAATGAGCTGAAACAGTTGCTATTCCAGGCAATACTTCTTCCATTAAAAGGAGTACATACTCATTCTAAAAAGCTATTCGATAAATTTTCATTACGTATCCATGTATGAGACATGAATCAGTATGAACAGAAAGTGAAACTAAAATTAGGGCAGCGAAATGCAGTGGATGCAGACTGTGAAAAAACTGATCTGTGAAGTTATGCTACATCATACGACCTAAAGCATGGATCGACAGGCAATCAGTGAAATGAATGAGAATGGAAAACTATTTGCAGACTACTGCGCATTTCATGATTTGCTGACTGGAGGCGAGGCAGTGTATACAAACACAAGGATATTCACATGGCAGCAACAGGGATTTCATTTCACCAAACACCAGAACACACTACACCAAAAATCAGATCTACTTCTTCTCAATCTCAAGAAAGTCGAGACACAGTCTACTACACACACAACATCAAGAAGAGGAACAGATGTAGGTTCACACCACCCACTATCTACTGCAAGGAACCCAACTTCAAGATCAAGTTGCAAGCCATCAGAGAAGATGGTGATAGACGACCACACTTCAGGTTCTACACCCAGAACTCAAACTCAACTCAAGGACGAAACGACATGCGACATCTTCACCTCAGTCATCAGGAAAAAATATGTGAGACACTAAGCAACATCGTTGAAGAAACCTGAGAAGAACAACACTGGAACTCTGTGAAAGCAACCTGGAAGGCGACCTGCATCACCATGTTAGGAAGGAAGAAGAAAGAAGACAAGGAATGCATCTCGACGGACACATGGAAGCTGATAGAGCAGGGAGAGGATGATGGTGATGGTGATGGTGAAGCAGAAGATGAACCAGTGCAGTGCAGTTCATTACAGTGCAGGGATGAACAACAAAAGAGCAACTGAATACAACCTATAAAACACCACACTGGACAAACAAGTGAAGAAGAGTATGCACAAGGACTAAAGACACTTACTTCTACGACACACACTTGCAAGTGAAGCAGAACAGGCTGCAGGTTGCAGGATAGACAGACACCTGACAACACCATATCAAATAACCAGGTTACTATCTAGGAGGGAAGATATCAACGCAGATGAAACTGATGAAAAATAGTGAAGGAAACTTATTAGCCACCAAAGGGGAGAAACAAAGGAAACCATGACTCTGATCACTCCAAAAAACCCTTGAATCGATTACCAACACCAATACCACCACCACTACCAAATGCAACTCGTCCAGAAATACAACCACCAACCGCAGAATTACAAGTGGACACAAGCCCTCCGACGAAACTAGAATTCCTTCATGAACGCCATAAAGTTGCTGAAAGACGTGAAAGCAGGAGGACCGGATGGAATTCCACCAGAAGCACTGAAAACAGACACACAGACAACAGACGACACGCTCATACCACCGTTATAAAAGGTTTGTAAGGAAGGAAGGAAGGGTACCTCCTCATTGGAAGAAGGGCTACCTTGTCAAACTACCAAAGAAGAGAGGCCTGAGTCTTTTCCAGAACTGGCGAGGAACCATGTTTCGCTCCTGTCCACGCCAAGCATATTGTTAAACCGCATCATCCAGGAGAGACTAATAAATGTTTTCCATTCAAAACTATGACCGGAACAGGCTGGCTGGCTGGCTGGCAATGAACCAACGAAGCAAGAACCCATCGCCCAACAAATATGCAGAGGAAAGTTAATGTGGATTCGACTGGGCATACACTGAGAATGCTGACTGGGGACAACGTGCTAGGTCATACTTACCCTCAAGTGGAACCTAAATGGGAAACGACGAGTTGGGCTGTTCATCCGAGGGTAACATGGAGGAGATTGTATGCGGAAGAAATGAAGCATGTGGGCGGTCATGTAGCCATGTTGAAAAGACTGGAGAGAAGAGAGTGGAATGGCGAAGTACTATGGCGATACCATATGTTCCACTAGGAAGCCAAGGGACAAATAATAATAATAATAATTCAGACCTGAAGCAAACGAAGTTTATTTGTTAAGAAAACGTTATCAGTTCTGATTAATTTTTCATGAACAGGAAATCTGATCCACATACATTAAAATGAGACACTCGGACACGCTTTATTTTATTTTCATGTATGGAGGTAGTCAGTCAAATGTACCAATTAACCTAAAATTTTCCTTTTTAGTTACTCAGTGGGTTAATTCTGGAGGCAGAAATAAATTCATACTTATTTCAGTAGGAAAATCTTCATGGATATGTATAAGTGTAGTAATTGATGTCACTAATCAGCCAGTCAGATAATGTAGGATTGGATTACGTGCACAAATTGATTGTCATGGTTTGGTCATAGCATCGTTGCGATTATTTTCAAAATAAAATTGTGAATCGAAGGACGTATTCTGCATATAATTCCTACTACTTAGTCTTGAAAATTTAAAATTTAGCACAATGCTTTATGATATAATCTGGCTGAGCTGACACAATCTACTGATTTGTGAAAAAAATACGACTTACGCGAGAAACCAGATAATTATCGTGATCAGCCAACCATAGATAAACTTGTTTATATTTGACACATGCTAATTGTAACTACTATGTGCTATAATTTATGATGTCATGATATCTGTTGATATAGATATAGAAAAAAATTCTTCTTTTAGTAATTCATGTGACGAAACTAAACATATTGCACGCGTTCGAAATGAACCGTTCACTATATACTGGACGGTCACGGAAGTTATGCAGTATTTCATTAATCGTAGACTTTTCTCCCTTCTTTACAGCCAAATGCATGACTCACGAGTAAGTAACCTTATGTGTGTATGCAGACAGACAGAGAGAGGGTTTACGGAACTGTCTCAGTACGAAGTCTTCTACATTTCGGTCAAGAAACTATTTGTCATAATTTGGAAACTTGAGATTTAATACCCAGAGATAATTAGCAAAAATATTAGACGTTGAGAATCATCTCATTTCGTTCCCCTAAACAATATACCATCACGTCACTTTAAAACAAAATTTATGTGTACTTTATTCCATGATAAATTAATATAGTCGGATTCACTTAACGTAACGGGAATAACTGCAAAATAATTATCTTGAAGATATTAAGAAGGATTTAAAGCCCAGATTGGAGATAGCGATTGATTGGCGTTCTTCGATCTCTGAGGTTTTTTTTGAACATATTATCAGGATAGGAAATTTCATCACCATTTCCTTCAAAGAGAAGGTTTAAGTTTATTCAAATTATTCTGTGACTAATTTCATGCACATTGAACAACTAAACAAAGGACAGTGATTCCACTTTTAACACTATGATTTTAATGAGTTCAGTAGAAATATTTAAAACTCTAAACTGCTAAAAAAGGATATCAATCAGTAAATCCATTCATGTTGTCAAATATTTTAACTAACCTTCAAAGAGTTTTCCAATGCTTTGATAATATGTCCAATTCTTCCAGCATAGTTGATTACTTCCGATGACAAGTTGAATTGTTCTAAGGTTACAGAACGACGAGTTAGTTCTGATTTGTAAACCTAAACAAATCACATTTAGTAATTAAAGACAACTAGCATACTTTGCACATCTAAACGTGAATGAAATTCATTAACTAACAATCTTTTTAAAGGTTATGTAATAAAGAATTACTAGCTCCGTTTCTATGACAACATCTTTCTATACAATCTTAAATATGAAACCTTTTACAGCTAGAAGAAAAGTCATAATGTGGAAACTGTCTATCTGTTTCAGTAGATGGATCTTACTTAAACAGGTTAGTAGTACTATAACTGAAATATGGATGGTGGAATTTTCCATCAACGCAAAATGTAGCAAATTATGAAATTCTTGTCTGCAGACTAACAGCATATGACATTCATACAAAATTCGAAAAACCAAATGACCAATTGTTTGAAGTCATACTAGCCAAACACTTGGTGAAGCGAATCCTATATGCATGAGATTTAGGAATTTTTCATCGAAACCTGACATATTAAAATCTTGAATATTTTCCGAAAAATATTGTTTCACATAAATCAATCAATATTGTAGCACTTTAAATATAACATTCACAGTTGTTTGTTGTGTCACATTCAATTTTCAATTCATTCGTGTTACTAGAATTATGTAAAAAATAAAGGATCCTGAAAGTTCAATGACTCATCTATCTACTAGTCAGAGTTGTTGTCACCAGACACTCGGTTGTTTTGTTTGATAAATTTTAAAAAAAACTCCAACTTGGGCACAATGAACAGCAAGCTTATGTATTCAAATTGACCTATAAGGTTGTCATAGTCACTATTATTATTTCTTTGTCTTATTTTTGATTCTCCTAAATAAAATTCATTAACTGTTCTTAGCTTAATAACATTTTTTCGAATATTAACTACTTCTAACACAATGAAAGATTACTTTTGTTCTGAAGCAAAAAAACTATATCACTCACAGTGATAAGTTGGTGTTCGACACCAAATATACTAACTTATCAATTAAAGAGAATGACAATTTTTTTGGCATTACTGTACTGAGGCTTTTCTGAAATATATTGTAAATTATGAATAAGTTTGTGGATTTTTTAAAACTTGCTGGTGTACATTCACCCTATACTTATCTTAACATGTAAGTGACACTATAATACTAAAGTGCACCTCAAATTTGCGCTTAATATGCTTACTATTTGAATGATTTCATTGCAGTTCAGTGGATACAAATGATCAGTGTGTATATTTGGAACCAGTGCTTTATTTTGGTACACACACACACACACACACACACACACACACACACACACACACACACACACATACTGATACCGACAATAATAATAGACCCAAAATGAAGTTTACAGACTTAAGCTAAGCAGTGAAATACAACCACAGTCACTACAATAGGCGAGTTTTGCATTCTAGTTTATTCACTAACCAATAAAAAGGAAGTTTATGGAATTTTTACCTATAGCTAAACTCTTTTTTGCAACTATCTATACATAGAAAATATTTTCTTTTGAGAGCATTTATACTGCAAATCTGCCCAGTGTTTTTAGTTATTAGCCTACTCTTTTCAGATGTGAGTATACCCTATTCCACGCCCACAAAAGCTGTCGGAACTTTGTTGTATTGAAAAGAGATGCACCTGATGATCTGTTGCTTGCTAATGTAAACATTCTTTTGGTAAAATCTCTTCACAGCATTTATCTTGATTCTTTGGGATAGTAGCCAACTTAGGAGGAAAAAGAAACTGACTCCATCTTTTCTAATGGTCAAAGATGTCACTGATTGTCTCATAGTAACTGCCTCTCCTTTGAATCTGCGTACTCTATTTAAACTCACTGAAGTGAGGCTACCTTCTAATAAGTAACTCACAAAAGGCCTGAAGCATAACATCTATAAAACTTCATATGCTGTCTAACTATATTGATAGGCTTAACATATCATAAGGGTAAGCGGGATTGTTACTGGCGATTATCTTTCAAAATATAGCACATCACCGTGCAGATAAGCTCAGAAGACATGTGGCAGGTAGGTCTTTCAGAACAATAGATATATAGGTGATATTTTAATAAAGCTGAAAGCTATAATTTATAGCAAAGCTTAGCAATGAGCTTTATCCAAAAACTAAATTAGCTAAAGATCATATTGATCAAAGTTTTGGTGTTGGTGAACCATAACTATTACAACAATAAAGGGACTAAAACAGATTAACTTCTACTAATCTTTCATACACCATCAAAAGATTTTGCCTTCAGTTTCTGACCGAATGGCGAAACCTCACCCAGTCCTGGTTACTGAAATATGAACTAAGTCATTGAAATCTAACCGTAAACTCTTTAAAATCTTTGTTAACATACATGCTAAAATTTGACACCTGGGATTACTGAGTAGATAAAATGGTCATTCGTGTTACCATGATTGGTAAGAAGTTTCAATAAAGGGATTCGCCTATTTTTTCACCTATATTTGCACCTTATTTTAAGATTCTTTCCAAGAAGTAGTCAGTAAAAAAGGTTAGCTGGAGTGTGGTGTAACATTAGAACATAAAACTAACAATTTCCTAGGCGATAATCTATAATTATGAGTTTATAACTTGCACCACACCTCTCCATCATAATGTACGGCCGTGAGGTGTGGCAGTTAAAAGTAGGAGGTAAGAATGTGTTTCAGGGTTTTGATGATAGTAGATTTTGTTGTATTGATCACATGTGATGGAACCACCATTTGAGCTATGTTAAGGTCAGACTCATAGCACTAATCAAGAAGGACAAGCCAGTCTATAAGGTTATGGTTCTTAAATGACTAAAATATCCAAGCCGTTTGTAGAGATACCAGATGTCAACCTAGGGTCCTCAAGATGCCAGAAACTGAGAGTTGCAAGGTATTTGAAATATAACTCAAACTCCTTCATGGTATTGTAAATCAATAGTGTATTCGAAGTTCCAACATTTGCCGGTAACCCTAATCCGTTTTCACTCTTTTTTCTCAATAACTTACGTAAACTTCCTTGTCATTCATTTTCGATGCATGTTTTCTCTTATTTCGCCAAGAAGTATGACAACTTGAACTAATAAACTTCTGCACCAGGTTCCACTCGTATAGGCCTGTCTGTTCGATCTCAGAAGCGCACCAATGCATGGCAAATTTCTGACCATCTGTATCAGAATACGTTTCAGTCAAACACAATGACGTAAATCTAAGGCTGCAAAACACGTGAGGATAACTCAATTTCTCCGAAAGTGTATATGCCAGCCAACCATACTGGGAAAATTTACAATTCTGGAAGACAGGATTTATCAATAAATAATGCAGATTACAGTCACAATCTCTCACTCATTGACAAAGAGTCTCCAATATTTGAAGAAGTCGATAAGGCTGTTAGTAAACCGAATCGATGAAAAGCATCATGCTTTAATTAACATCTGGACTAGGTCAAAGTGAAACTCAGAAGGATGAAATAAAAGTCAGCGAGGTGGGTTTTGAAATAGCAGTAATGGGGTCGAGTAAATCTTCACTCTGCGCCAGAATCTACAGGACAAGCACAGTTACCTCTGACCAACGCTGGCTACATTTTGTGACAGACAGTCGGACATACAGACAAAATCAACGTTGCAACTCGCACACAGGTTCATCTGCTCAAGTTGACACACTAGTATGGGTCGATAGAAAAAGACTGATATCAAAGTAGATGAGGTTGTGAGAGAATAACTATTTGAAGATAGAGACCAGTACAAATATTCAAGCTTTAGAAGATATCAGGCAGTGAATGCATCTGCGCCACTGTGACCAATCTTCAGCCATATCACTAAGGATTCTCAACCACTAAATCCTATCATCACGAGGACCCCGGACGGCGAGTCTACATATCTCCACACGACTCAGACCAACAGTTAGACTTCATCAACTGGTGCCACGTCTTGATCTGGTCACGCCGAACCCTCTTCTAACCTGATCCAACATTCCATAGCATTGCACGTCGGGATAGGTGGTGGCTAGGCATGCATAGTACATGTCCAAGCTATTTCAGTCGACTAAGGTTCACAACCCCATCAACAGACTTGTCTATTTTACCTACCACGCTTCGCATGACCTCAGTATTACTCACATGTTGATCTCACCAAAGGTGAGCAATGCTACGAAGACAATTATAATCAAGACCCTGTATCTGCTTTACGTTTTCTACTTTTAACACCCATGTCTCATAGACGTATAGCAGGACAGAATGGACTAAAGCGCAGTGTACTCGTCTATTGGCTGATAGTCGAACATCTCGACACATCAGCGCCACAGTGCCATGCAAGTTGGCAAATGCCAACCAACCCATCCGTACTGATACAACACCAAAGTGAATGACGTTGTCGACACATTTCCACCACACCATTCATCATCCTTAAACTAAGAGTAGATGCAGATCGTTCCTGGAGAATCATCTTACACTTGACAGGGGCGAAATGCATGCCAATTATACTCGGATTTCTTCTGAACGCCTGTGTTCAGAAGACTCTGCATTTTGTCGGCATTCTCACCTAGCGGGACAATACCGTCTTCATTCTCCAAACTAACCAAATGGCCACCAGGGGGTAGATCAATGCCTGTGAAGCCATAACTACCTGAAGACACACTTCTAGTCAGTTGGCTGCCAGGTTTCATGGCTGTATCTCCTCTAAAATCAAGTGCCTGGCAAATACATCAGTTTACGAAAGCTGTATGTTCTAAGACTTACTTTCGTATTGCAATCCATGGGGACCTGTCAAAGAAGTTTTGTAGTTCGGATTGTATCCATTAAGTATGTTCACTGTCTTTATTCCGTTGAACTTTGTAATAAACACAATTGCAGAAATCTGCCTGTCTTTGTTTGATCTTAAAAGGATTGATATTGTTATAGGAGACTCGTAATCAGACCAAGTGTACACGCACGGAGTATTTGTTCTAGGTGAAGATGCTGACAAGACAAAGAATTCTCTAGAAATATTGAGAGTGTTCGTCAGGAGTTGCAGACGACTAAGGTGCAAACTATTGCTTCAAAACTGCAATTTTTTATACCTAGTCTGGTAAAACGTAGGGAAGTCACGTAATTTGTTGACTGATTCACTTATCTAGGAAGTTTGTAACAGGCCAACTTTCATCCTGGAGACAAAAGACTGGGGTGGCTTTTGGCAGTTTTCACCGTTTAAGGAGTTCGCAAGAAATCTGGCTGCCTACTTACGACAGAGTTTACTGCGCAGCAGTTCGCTGTTTACTTTTCTATTGATGCGAAACGTGACAACTAGACTTAAGTTTCGTTAAATGGTTACAAGTGTTTGAATACCACGGCCTCCGCAGCATCCGCTAATTTCTGTGAAACTATCAAATTAGTGATGCAAAGATTAGGCTCAGAGTCCTAAGTAAAAGAGATAAATTAGTTATTAAGATTTTAGACTATCTCCTGAGGTAGCTGACGTATCTGATACGCATCCTTACTCACCACCTACCCTTACTTATGGTGCAATATGAAGTATTTTTTAGCTGTAAGAAATGTTAGAGGTGGCTAGAATGAAGAAGAAATCACCTCATAAAGCCTTCGACTTCTGATATGAGCTGTATGGAAAAAATGTGCACTTCAAACTGAGGCTATTTTGACAACCAAAGTGAACGCTTGGGGACTTTAAATGACACGGTTTACAATCAATCTCTGTAACACAGATAAATCCACAGGTCACCTTTATCCTAACCCTCATATCTTTCATGGACTACTTTACACTTAGTTTTTGTGTTCTTATGACTAACTGACTGCTGATTGGATGAATTCCCCTAACTCACTATTTTATGTCTGGTTGCTACGTATTTTAATGTGCTGATATGAGAAGGGGCAAGCTTAAGTAATGCCAGAACAAATGTTAATATTAACTCCGCTTCAGAAAAGCACCTGCATTTTCCTCAGCCCTTTCCCCCTATTTCAAACTATGATCAAGGTAACATTGTAATGCACAGTTGATATCTTTCTTACGCTGATGATGTTCTCTAGAACGACAATGAAAGTCTTCTGATCAGACCATCCAGTTTAGAGAACATAACAGCACCAAAATCAGCTTACGGAGCTACAAATATTCTCTATCATTGCAAAGTATAAAACTTCAGTAATTGAAGCTGGTGATAATTCAAACCAAACAGTTTGAAATGACAGTCTAGTTTCAAAGAGAGGAGAATTAAATTTTTATGCCAAAAATGGAAGACAAGACGGCTCCTTGAAAAATATCACGATTTTAATTACACAAGCAACCACAATATGCTGTGTTGCAAAAGTGAACAAGGGATTAGGTTGAGACCCTATGCAGTCTGAGATTGAAGTGTATAGGGGAAAGCAAAAAAAACTACGGATTCAGGATTTACACAATGCACTCCTTTTATGATATGACTTGGACTCCCCTTCAAAAATGTATCAACATATACAATATACAGATCAATTATCTTGATGTCAAGTAAAAGTTTGTTTCAACAAGGCTTGCGTTCTAATTTTGATAGTGAACTCAGTTCTGAAATATAAATCACCTACTGTGAATAATCGTAACCTTAATCGGTAAACGAGTCTAGTCAGGAGTGATAAAAGATAAATTTATATTGGTTTTCCATTACCTGTTGATGAGAGAAAGATATTCAGTAACTTGCATGGATCTCCTATTACTAAACTCCCGCATAATAAACCCTAGAGTTCCTTCAATAATAATGGGAGACTTGGTCCAGTATAAAGCAAGCACACTGTGAAGTTTGATGAATCATACAGGCATGAAGCACACATCTACCCAGCAAAGTACTCTCGTTCCAAATCCCTTTCGTATGACAGCCTTGAAATTTCGTGAATTTTTGTTATAAATTCTATCTATTGAGCAAAAGAAACCATGGAGGATATACAGATTCTTAAAATACAAAACAGAACCACTGTTCATGTGTTGAACCCCATTCAAATGTTTCCGATCTCCATGTATCGCCACCTTTAGTAAAATTACCTGAAATGCATATGATTCTCAGACTTCCACGATAAAGTAAACTTGGAAAATGAATACAAGAAAACTTATTATCACTAAAATATTACTGCATAAAAATGACACCAAATAAAATTGTACTTTGTTACTTTCAAAATATTCGCGAATCTAGTGTTAAAAAAATCATGAATTTCAAATGAAACTGGCAGGTAACAAAAACTCATTTCATGAACTATCTGAACTTTGAAGTTCATCTTCTTGCCTTCACTATGTGTAACGAAGTAAATAAAACCTTACTTGCTACCGATATTATACGTTCGATATCCTGAGAGGTCACTCCGATTGCATCGACTATCTCAAATGTTTTTGGCTATCCATGATTACACACATCAGTGAAAATAAATATTTTATTAGCATGTCACAAACCATAATATCCTATTCCATATTTTGCATGAGACTGGCGCTAAATAACCCATGGATCCTCATAGAAAGTCAGTTACAATTCACAGAACTGCTGTTCTATTCGCAATAACTGGCCTTGGAGTAGACTAATTTGATATTAAGTAAAATGCATTAGACAGATGTCGAATGGTTATTAATTATTAAGCACTAGTGTACAAAGCTATCAAATTTAACGACTTTTGCGAACTTATGAAAACCGAACATCACATATTCTCAAAGCTCTAGTAAAGGTTTATAAAATTAGCGGTTACGAATCATTTTGTCTTCAAACCAAATATCCAGTTGTACAAAAATGAACCAGTTATAAGAATGCGTACATTTATGAAAGCAGACTTCTTAGCTGAATTGTGAATTAAACTTTCAAAATGCTGTTTTGAATTTTTAAGTTCGTATGAATATTGAGTGTGCAGATGAATAATGAGGATCACAACTCCGAAAACAGTGAACACACTAGTGCGTGAACACATTTTTTATTCAAAATGTTTGCGTCAAAAATCTTTAATCATTGGTAAACTAAAACACAAGTATAAATATCCAAGAGTGCACTGGTGATTTTCATCAAGAATAAACTTAAGAAAATAAATTATACCTACTTACATGGTTATACGAGCTAATGTGTTAACCAGCATTGATTAGCAAACGGTAATCTAGGTTGTTGTTCAGCAACAAATACCAATAGTGAGAATAATGGGATTTTGGAGTTTCTGAACTTTTGCTTATCAGTTTTGAAGACTGGTTCCTTTTGCTAGGATGTCTCAGAAGTCTTTTCAGTTCACTTGCCATTCATAGCCATAAGGGTAGCTCGAGGTATTTCATCGAATGGCCCACCTCTACAGCTTCTTTTCAACTGCTTGTACTTTCAGAACGAAGTCACGTTACGTGCACACATCTCCTGGATCAGTACGTCTGATAAGGCTCACGTCTTTTTGATAGAAATCATGTCTTTCTGCGGGTGAAATCATTCCGTTTTTAGCTTCGGTAGTTTTCTTTCAAGGATTTCTACATTACTGTCGAGACATGTCCAGAAGCTAACAATTTGGCATAGTGCTGTGCGTCTGCAGTCCTTACCGAACTGGCAGGCATCCGCCCCTTGGATCCTACCGGCACCCTGGCATCCTTGCATCGTGAAGGTGTTCGTCCTGATGTCCTCAGGGATAAGTTCACCAGGCAATTCTTCAATGACCGACGCGGTCTGCAGTATTCTGGTAGGCTGTCTTTATCTTCCTATCTGGCGGATGTCAGTTTAGCTTCGAGGCGTCGCATAGCGCTTCCCTATCGATATTCCATACGATGCGGTCTCGTAAGAGCATCTTTGAGCTATGGCTTGAGGTCAAAATGTACAACAAGCGACCCGCTCTGTACGTGAGCTGCTCTTGGTAGTCTACTTGTGATACTGGCTGGTAAGCTCTCTAGTTATATTTCTGGTGCTTTGAGCCCCTGCTGCCCAACATCATAGTATTAACGGTCATACTTTGTGGGTCCTGCCTCCAGTTAAGGTAATCCGTGTGCTACCATGGTCACAGCCTTGTGCAGGTCATTACGAGGAGACTTCGCTTCCGCCCCTCTGATACTAGTGATTATTAATTAATAACCATTCGACATCTGTCTAATGCATTTTACTTAATATCAAATTAGTCTACTCCAAGGCCAGTTATTGCGAATAGAACAGCAGTTCTGTGAATTGTAACTGACTTTCTATGAGGATCCATGGGTTATTTAGCGCCAGTCTCATGCAAAATATGGAATAGGATATTATGGTTTGTGACATGCTAATAAAATATTTATTTTCACTGATGTGTGTAATCATGGATAGCCAAAAACATATGATATGATACCGGGCAGCGGGGGCGCAAAGCACCAGAAATATAACTAGAGAGCTTACCCGCCAGTATCACAAGTAGACTACCAAGAACAGCTCACGTACAGAGCAGGTTGCTTGCTATACATTTTGACCTCAAGCCATAGCTCAAGATGCTCTTACGAGACCACATCGTATGGAACATCGAATGGGAAGCGCTATGTGACGCCTCGAAAGAAAACAAACCTTAACTTGACATCAGGATTATTTATCACCATCGTATTTTTGTTTCATATGTCGTTTCTAAGCCATCTCTAACTGCTAGTTATTTGGCTTCTTTTTCCTCGCTACCGAAATGAATAATCGTCTGTCTACTACTGCTGCAGCGTGGTCCGATCCAAGAAGTCTGTTTTACATATATACGTGAACTCAGACCTACGTCTCAACTGAAAGAGCACGTTCACTAACTTTGTCGACATCAAGCCTTAGAAGGAGCCCTGAAGCTAAGGTACTCGATTTGCTACCGGAGCCATATAGCACTTTGCGTAGAAATAAGATTCTATAACCTTGCAAAAGTCACTGCATGACATGAAAGCTATGCTTGGAGTTATCCCGCTACTGCTGCGTCTTTGTCAGCCTAATATAGAAGCCAGTACTGAAACGCTATTGAAAACAGAAAGTGTGCTGGATTTCCTAGTTACAGGGGTTAATAAAAGAATTATGCCCTCACATAATGTACTAATATACAACATATCCGACCACTAACCTATCAAACGACTAAAAGGCTTATGTTTGCAGACTTGCAATATATCTTCTACAGAATGCCAAATTATCTGTCTCCGCAAGAATTAGAGGAAATATACCTGCCCTCTGTTGTTCAAAATCAATAGCCCTTACCACACCATACACCTCCTATCATCCATCAACTTGTCAGTGTATCCACGCCATATAAAAGTTTCAAACTTTCACAAGACTTAAACCTCTTCTAAGACGTAATCGCACAGAAATACTAATGGCCGCAAACTCTAGTCAGTCTGTGGTACCCACAACAGAAACAATCTGTTAGTGAACTGGTTACTGTAACAAAACAACGGAATGAGGAACGCCAAAGCCCAAAAATATCTCACTCATACACAGACGTAGTAGAGACGATGACACGACGGTAGGCTTGGACAAATCGACGAGCTACACTCGAAGACAGGCACACGGTCTCTCAAAAGCGATCTCACTGCCTACAGAAGCAGAGAGCCTGTCCCCATTTCACCCCGTCACTCAAACCTCCACCAAGCCATGTGCTACGCTATCGATCCAACAAAATACTGAAGGCATTTCCATGTCGTCACCAGGGGTTACTCAGCCCATAAGAGTACCCAGCACCGGCTACAAGCACCCTGTCATCACAGAAGCGTCCCAAAACTTAACGCGGAAACAGTCTCATCTACTCCCACATCAGCTAGTGCATAGCCTACATGCATCAAATGGTCCAATGACAAAGAATACAGATAGCATTAGGCACTCTAATATAAACCTACCATGGACCCACCCTGGTTGGTCAGATTGCCGAAAAGTCAATTAAGTAGCCGAGCCAATGGACGAAAAAGCAATACGAATAAGCAAAAGGCCATGGCACCCCCTCAAAGCCACACTAAGAAAAATGCCAAACATTATTCCCCAGTCCATCCTGTGACCAGGCCAAATAACTAACGTCCAGGCGATCCATATTTCCTAACATTTCCGCGGTCACTAACAGACACACACCACGGGCAGACCCATCAATGGTCATAGTTACTGGATAGTGAGCCGAATGGTGGTCACAGACTGCACTCTCCGCCTAACCCACATGCCTCAAAACGTGGGTCACATGCCGCTCAAGGACAGGCTTGCGGTAGATCCCCTAGAAACTCAATGAATAGGAAGTTGACTATGACCATAACGTATATGGCAGCTAGCAAATGGGCACGCCATGCGATCTATAAGTCCCCGTTACTGTTAATGAACAGGGTTTTTTCGGGTAGCCCGCGCCTGCAACGCCACCAGTGACGCAAGTTATTCGGATACTGTCGGATCACCTGCTGTCTACCTTGACCAACAGTCTCTGTATCAATCATAACGTGGTAAAAAATCTCGCTGATTCCAAGGTAAAAAATTTCGAATCGTCACCCTGCACTAAATTAAGGTCACAACATTGATAGCATGATGTACGCAAAGAGCCCACGAAGAGTGCACAGAAGTGCTGACTTTTTTGAGATATATCCAACCACTTTTGTGCTCTTGACTCACTCTCGTTTCGCCTGATTGACGCCAGCTCTGTGCGCAACAAAGTGAAGGAGATGGTACCGCTATCGCTGATTTGTGATCCGTCTGTGATAATGACTTCAGAAGCATGGTGTACCTCTGATATTTGTGACACAGAGGTCTACATCAACAACTATTCCTTGTTCATGAGGGACAGGCTACATGGTAAAGGAGGAGGGCGCATTTTCTGTATAAAGTCTAAAATCACTGCTACGCAGTACTCAAACCCTGAGCTAAACGAGATTGACGACTTAGTATGGGTTATCGCCAAACTTAGCCACTTCACATCTCTCCAAATAGGATGCACTTACCGACTCCCTTGCTCCTCAGTCGAATACGACGACAAGCTAACAAGCTTTTTGTTCGTGTGGCAACACTACCACACACAGGGGAAACTGTATGTGGTGACTTCAACATGCCAGATATAAGGTGGTAACCAATCAACTATCCGAAGCGCTCTGATAAATTTATAAGCATTCTTGAAACAGAGGGTTGGCAACAAAATGTGGAACACCCTGTCAGGTACAATAGTGTCCTGGACGTAGTCCTCACAAACGAAACCACACCCACAAATATCCAAATGGGTACGCAATTTACAGATAGCGATTACAAAATAGTATATGGATACTGCAACATATCCAGCACGAAATCAGCCCAAAAGTCAGGAACAGTACTGACTAGAAATTACAAGTATGCCAAATGGGATGAGCTACAATCGTTTCTGCGCTGCCTAGATTGGAGCCCCTACTTTACCAACACTTCAGTTAAAGGACTCTGATATCTATTCTATGAATATATAGTCACGGCTCAAGACCATATTGCTCCACCGCTTCAAAGAGAAATTGAGAAAGAGTTGACCTTATACTTACGAAAGTACGCAACCGCACACGCAACCATGCCAGGGAGTGCTGTAAGTCGAGTGACTTCATCGTTTATCACGCTCAAATACACGTATGACACATTTAACGTAAAAAGGGTACTAAAAGCATTCACTGTAGTGAAACTAGCAATACGGAAACAATAGTGAGACTGGTGAAAACCCAGACAAGCAGCTCCAGAAATAGTACTCCTAGTTTATTCGTAGACAATGGAATCCTCTACGACGATCCACTACAAATCTGCGAGCTGTTCACTTATTAGCCTGCTAGCTTCTATACACACGAGGACAAAACAAAATTCATTGGTATGATATCAACATTAACTCACCCAATGAGTACTGTGCTCTTCACTAAACAAAATATTTCTCTGGCTATGGCACCACTTCGAACCTCATACAGTACTGAACCTGATGGAATTCCATGTCGCCAAAAAGGGGTGGCGAAGATATACCGCTGATTCTCTTGAAGCTCTTTAATACGTCCCTCTCCAGCGGCAATTGCCCCAAGAACTGGAAACTATCATGCA